ATTCAAATGAGCCCCAGAGCAAGAAAAACCAAATTTTACTCATTTTCGTGTGCTATCCATGAATTTTTGGTGATTCGGATTCCAGCTTGTTTTTGGTCGAAATTTTTCATGGACGTCCGTTATGATCTTATTAATGGCGTAAGTTGGTCCCAATGGGAAAACGGGTAAATTTTCATGTTCAAACGAACTCCAAAGTAGGAAAAACCAGATTATACTATTTTTCATGTGCTATATAGTCCATAGATTTTTGGTGATTCGGGATTCCGGCTTATTTTTGCCAAAATTTTGCATGGAAGTTTGTTAATACTTTATTAATGGTGTGAGTTGGTCCCAATGGGCAAACAAACGCATTTTCAAATTCAAACGAGCTCCTAAGTAAGAAAAAACAGATTTTATCGATTTTCGTGTGCTATAGTCCATGGATTTTTGGTTATTCGAGATTCCATCTTATTTTTAGCTGAAATTTTCCATGGAAGTGCGTTAAGAACTTATTAATGGCATGAGTTGGTCCCGAACGGTAAACGGACGCATTTTCATGTTCAAACGAGCCCGAAAGCAGGAAAAATTAGATTTTACTCATTTTTGTGTGTTATAGTCCATGTATTTTTGGTGATTCGGGATTCCGACTTGTTTTCGGCCAAAAAATTTCATGGGCGTATGTTAAGACGTTATTAATGGCGTGAGTTTTTTTCAAGGGGGAAACGGGTGCATTTTCAAGTTCAAACGAGCCCCAAAGCAGGAAAAACCATATTTTACCAATTTTCGTGTGTTATAGTCCATGGATTTTTGGTGATTCACGATTTCGGCTGGTTTCTTCTAAAAAAATTCTTGGACGTCCGTTATGACCTTATTAATGGCGTGAGTTGGTCTCGAAGGGAAAACGGGTAAATTTTCATGTTCAAACGAACCCCAAAGCAGGAAAAATCAGATTTTACTGATTTTCGTGTGCTATAATCCATAGATTTTTGGTGATTCAAGATTCCGGCTTGTTTTTTGCCAAAAATTTGCATGGAAGTCCGTTATGATCTTATTAATGGCATGAGTTGGTCCCGAGGGGCAAACAGACGCATTTTCATGTTCAAACGAACCCTAAAGCAGGAAAAACCATGTTTTACCGACTTTCGTGTGCTATAGTCCGTGGATTTTTTGTGATTCAGAATTTCGGCGTGTTTTTTGCTAAATATTTCATGGACGTCCGTTAAGACCTTATTAATGGCGTGAGTTGGTCCCGATGGGCAAACAAGCGCATTTTCAAGTTCAAACGAGCCCCAAAGCAGAAAATACTAGATTTTATCGATTTTCGTGTGATATAGTCCATGAATTTTTGGTGATTCATGATTCCGTCTTGTTTTTGGCTGAAATTTTTCATGGATGTCCGTTAAGACCTTATTAAGGGCGTGAGTTGGTCTCGAGGGGAAAATGGGCACATTTTCAAGTTCAAATGAGCCCAAAGCAGGAAAAACCATATTTTACCAGTTTTCGTGTGATATAGTCCATGGTTTTCGGTGATTCAGGATTTCGGCTTATTTTTTGCCAAAATTTTTCATGGTAGTCCGTTAAGACTTTATTAATGGCGTGAGTTGGTCTCGAGGTGAAAACGGACGCATTTTCAAGTTCAAACGAGCCCCAAAGCAGAAAAAACTAGATTTTACCGATTTTCGTGTGCTATAGTCAATGGATTTTTGGTGATTTGAGATTCCGACTTGTTTTTGGCTGAAATATTTTATGGACGTCCGTTAAGACCATATTAATGATGTGAGTTGATCCCGAGGGACAAACATGCGCATTTTCAAGTTCAAAAGAGCCCCAAAGCAGGAAAAATCAGATTTTACTGATTTTTGTGTGCTATAGTCCATGAATTTTTGGTGATTCTGAATTCCGGCTTGTTTTTTGCCGAAATTTTTCATGAAAGTCTGTTATGACCTTATTAATAACGTGAGTTGGTCCAGTGTGCTATAGTCCACTTTTTTCTATTATTTTAAGATTTGTTATTGGATATTCAATTTCCATCATAACCTCTAATAAAAAAAACATCACAAGAATATCATTTGTAAATGTTTTTTTAAATAAATAATTTTCAAATCTATCTATTCTGTAATATGGACATAGTTTTACAATATAGTTTGACAGTATAAGCCACAACTATGGAAATAAATTATTTTTTAATATTAATATACAAAAAGGATGGTGGGTCAAGCGATTTCCCAATCAATATGATCAAAATTATAATTTTTATAAAAATTAGGATAACTTATTTCAGATTTTAGCTTTACATAATCTTGTTCCTTTTTTTATTAGTTTTGACTTACTATACAGTGGAGTCTACTTCATCCTCATTAGTGTTTCTATATAATGATTTCCAGAAATTTCTTCTTTTTACTACTAATATTCCCGTATTGGACTTGATTAATTTGAATTTGCATTTAATAGAATTTATTTTTAAAAAATTATTAAATATTTCTCAAAGAAATAGTTAATTATAGTAATTGATATTTATTGTGAATAATAGCAACAATTAATAACAATAGTGTTCGATAATAGTAATTAACAATATATATAAATTATTATCAGCTATGATTAGTGATTATTGTAGTAATGATTGTAAATAATCTTGTTGTGATAATGATTATAAATTACATTAGTGGTGCAAATAAATAAATGCGGTAATTGACGATAATCCTGAGGATGATAATAGTTAATAATACTGAAAAATAATTATTAAGGTGTAGTTGATGATGAATGGTAAGGGCGACACGATAATAGTTAGCGGTGAAAATGAATGAGGTAGTGTTAGATGTCATCTTAATCATTCAAATTTATTTAGATCTACTAAGTAATCGTGAAATAAAAATAGAATGTGCTTAATAATTGTTTTGTCTTACTATTGCAAATTGCAATATTTCTTTTTTGTGTTGTCTCATTCATTACTTCATCAAATTCGTTATCATGTATGTTGTTCAATGTACTCTATTTTTTTCTTTATTAATTAAAGTACTTGACCTACTTTTCTCAATAATAAAAAACTAAAGTGTGTAAATATTGCTTAAGAAAGAGATGATCTTGTGGTACAATCCTACCAAATCATGTGGTTTGGTTTGTATATATTTAAAATTCTAGACAAAGGGACCAATTTAAAATTTAAATTTAATAGAAATTTATTTTAAAATTTTTAATATTGGATGCCTTGAATTTCTAAAATTATTATTATGATAAGAATAAAAGAAATTAACTATAAATTTCTTTGTTGTTCTGTTGCAAAATCATTCATAGCTAATAATTTTTTCATATATATAATCTATCACTAAATAAAATTGGTGACCGATACAAATTTTATAATGACAACTCAATATAGTGTGTAAATAAAATTTGTTCGTCAGAAAATTGATTTGAATACTTTTCACATATATATTTAAACTCTATATTAAATTCTCGTTATAAAGCTTGCCTCCGCCACTGAGAATATATATTTAAAAAAAAGTATTTTTCCTTTTTCTTGTGGTCCTATCGTCCTAGTGTTCTAAACACGGATTATTGGCCCTTAAGAGTGGGTTTTTTTTAAAGCTTTAAGTGAATCTTAGTGTGGAATATTAGTGCCTAATTAACCTTTAATTTATGAAAAAGAATTTCAATAAAAAAATTACAATATATTATAAGGGACTTTCCTAATGGTGAGCAAGTGCTCTACTGTCATAGTCCCATCTTTTAGGGGGAAAAAGAAAAGTAATATAGCAATCGTCGATTGCAGTGGAATGATAAGAATTTTCGTACTCATAATTAGAAATTTCAGATTTAATTTTTGGAATTGAAATTAAATTTTGTAAGAAGTGTTAAAACTTTAGACATAATTATTTTATCATATAAATTCATATTAATCAAATCAGTATAACTTTTAGACGAATTATTTTTAAAAAAATTACAAAACTTAATCACCATCTAAACAAAGTTGTCTTTATCAAAGAAGAGAGCCACGAAAAGCTCAAGTCATTCGAAATTAATGAAATTCCGATCCTAATAAGTCATGGTATCCTAGTTTTAGACTCTTTTTTTTTATGGTTAAATGTGTGAGTCTAGTCAAATTGAATGTAATATTATATTATTAAATAAAAATGACATTTTTTAATGATCTTTATCTAAGTTTTGAACTTATACATATATATTGTGAATTTCGATTTATCTAAAAGAATGAAATTTGAAAGACTAGGATCAATTATATTTTCTCAACAATCTACACCTTGTACAATTATGTACTTAATAAATATTTTACTTTCTATTTCTCATTTACCAAAATCTCCCCCACACACAAAACAAAAAAAAGTTAATATTAAATGTTTGAGTGATCATACATTGATCTTTTCTTACAAAACAAATTATAAGTAGGCAGTTTTGTCGGCAAGTTGGCTTATCAATAAGACCCCAGTAGCAAAATAAAGAATAGTGTAGAAAAAGAAAGAACTTTTAAAGTTTTATGCACGGACATTATAAATGATATATATATAATTAATATAATTTAATTTACTATGATATATTATTATTTTCTACTTTTTAAGTATCTTATTAGAATTAATATACAAATTTTTATTTTTTTCGGAAGTGTAATCGTAATTTTAATTTTATCGATTCTGAATTTAAAAATAACAATTTGAAATAGTAAATATTTTCTTCTAAATTTGATATTCATTCATAATAAATAATTTTTTTTAAATCGTATCTAAATTTCTAACTTTGTCTATATATACACCATTAATAATTTAAAAAATCACAAAGTAATTTTTTTAATTTTTTTTTTTAAATTATTATATTTGGCAAAACTCATATTTTAACTTTTAGATCCACCCTATATACACTTGCAATAAAGAAAAACTCACAAAGTGAAAGTCCTCAAAAGCAAAGCACCCATATAAACTTTACATGATAACTACAAGCACTAGCAATTCCACCACCAAAAAAAGAAACTATTCTATCAACTTGTCCCAATATTTCTATAACAACTCTTCAAACAAAAAAAAAAAAACTCCATTAATAACCTAACCAAAAAACAAAAAAAATAAATCTTCACCCCCTTATATATATAATCATGTGGAGGTTATTAGTATCAATAAGGCAAAATTTACAAAATATGGGAAAAAGTCCAAGAGTAGCTGATGAAAATATGACAAATATTTGTAGAGGTGAAAATAATAGATCAACAAGGCAACATAATTGGACCGGGTTTTCGATCATTTGTGGCGTTTTTCGCGCTCCATTAGCCTTATTTTCGTGCTTAAATCATCCTCGACTCAATGGAACGGATGGAGTTTGGGTTTCTGGAGAATTTTCACAAATTTCTGAAATGAATCATCTTATGGTTAGTGATAGTATGCGTTATGCAATATTGATGTGAAGAAAAAAAAAAGATTATGGTAAGAAATGAAATGAAATTTTTAGTTATGATGAGACTTTTTTTTTTTTTTTTTGGTTTGTGTTTTTGGGTATTTTTTTAAATATATATTTTGATGTACGTGAAGTTTTGGATTTGTTATTTTTCCTGAGGAAATCTAGGGTTTGTATATGTGTTACTTCCTCGATTTTATTTTATACGATAATGTTTGATTTGATAAAGAATTTTAGAGAGAATTTTCTTGGAATTTGGGGGATTAAATATGACATGGTATTTTTGTGATTATATAAACAAAAATACGTATATATCCAATTGAGTTTGGACATAATCCATCGAAAATATACTTGTTGAAAATCTCAAAACGAAATTGACCGTGGGAAATTCATAATAAGGGTTATTGATGTTTTAGTATGTTATTAATTTAAAATTTATGATTTTAAATATATTATATTTTTATAATTATATATACTAAAAACATGTAACTTTTTATTGTGTTTTAATTTAATTCATCGGAAATATGCTTGTCAGAAGTAGCTAGGTAGAACTAATTTTGTTTGTCTTTTTGTAATTTTTTAAAACAATTTTGAACTGAAGTTTGTAAGTGAATAATAATATGGATAATAGAGTGAATAATGGTCATGAAGTTGAAAATTTTTATTTTTATTTTTTATTCTGGTTAATGCTTATGTATAGAGAAAATGACAAAAATGGTTTTGAGCGTAGATTTAAAATAGTTTCTTATATAAGCATTGGGTAATTTAAATAGTTAACACTTTTACTTTCGTCAAATACTTTTATAGAATTTTATCTGTTAAATTTACTGAAAACTATGACTAGAAAAAAAGAAATTAACGAAAACTCACTTTTAGAGTACATTTTTGTAATTTTTTTAATATATATTTCTAGAGTCTTATGCAATTTTCGGAGAGGTAATTTATAGAATTTTTATATATTTTTAGTGTCTAATACAATTTTTTATGTTGAATATTTTAGGATTTGATAGGATTGTTTTGGTGTTTAAGACTAAATTTGTTTCCTATTTTTATTGTCAAATCTAATGAATATAAATTATTAAATATTTGACGGAGACTAAAAATGTTAATTTTTATCAAATTTAAAAGACCAAAATTGTAAATTGTGTACTTAAGAAGCTATTTCTCAAACATAAAGGGACCATTTTTGACATTTTCTTCTTATGTGTACCTAATTATTCCTTTGATAAAAGTGCTTCTTCATATACAATTATTTTCCATTTATTTCTTTTGATGTTTGTGTACCTGATCTTGTCCTTAGCTTATATAATACAGATCTTAGATTAAGAATATTTTATCTAAATGGCTAGCTTAATTAATTAGTTTGATGTGACATACCTATCAATTCTCTAAGTGCTTTATATAATAAAATAATTAAAAAATATATAAAGCTCTTGAATTAAATTTTCAAGTTGGGCCAAATATATATAATATAACTTATTGATGAAGGAGGCTCGGATAAATTCCTTTTCGATATCCCTAGTTCCACCAATGGTAACCGGTTCAATTGTACCATTACTATACATTGAAGACATGCAAATATATATGAAATCTATGAAGAAATCATTAAAGAAATTTCAATTTTAATTATAAATCGATGATTTAAAAAATGTAATGAGTTCAACAATTTAAAAATTCAACTCATAAAATAGTAATCCTGGACCACCTCTAACAAATATAGAAGCCTACATATATCTCTTGGTTCTATCCAAAAGCTTCTCTTTATATTATTATAAAAAAAATATATAATGGCAAGTGTTTTCTAATGCATAGGTGCTTTCTGGATTCATTTAAATTAAACTATATATGCAACTTTAGTTTCATTTAATTTACTCTAAAAAAATAAAATAGATTGAACTAATGATAATTCCAATTATATGGAACTTGAGAATCTTAGTTACTTTTTGTCATTTCATTTTCTAATGTCTTTAGAAAAAGAAAAAGAATACTCATTTCATTTGAAAATAAGGGTAAAACATTTATACCATAAATCCAGAATAAACCTTAACATTGAGATGTTTTTGATTTTTCATCGGGTGTTTGATATTTGCATTGAGACTTGATTAAGTTTGGATTCACGTATTTCAAGATCCATTTGTGAGGGTACCACTCCCGATAAGATTTTTTCCATTCTCAAGAATTCAAACCTAAGACATTGATTAAAAATGGAGGAATCTCAACTATTCCATCACAACAACTGATATTGATCTTAACATTGAGATAAGTACATAGGCCATGCAAATAACAATGCCATAATACCTTGGGATCCCTTTGAATTTAGCATCTTTAATTTAATATATAATTGAACGAATTTTGTCCTAACTATCGTCTTGAATGTTGATATGAAAAAGAGCGTAATTACACTTTTTTAGATGCGTGAAAATGAAAAAAAGTAAAAATATGCCAATAATGACTCGACAAAAATTAATAAATGAAAGGAGAACATATACTTGAGGTATATTTAATTTACTTTTTAAAGTTTGGAAAACCAAACAAATTGTTACAAGTAGTTGTTTGATAGATAGATATTATTCTTCCATTATTCTTTGAATTAACAATAATTATTCTTTGTATAATGACTGAGTTGACCTCAACATGTGATTCATATATATAATTTTTTTAGAATATGAGTTGTTAAAGCACCCAATTAATTCCTTGGCTCCTAGAGAGAACAATCATTGCTAATATTATGTGGTCCTAGAAAGAATTCCTTTTTTTCACTCAAAATGCTATGCCTTTTGTTTTCCACTATTGTATACTTTTATGAAGGAAAAAAAAGTGTTACTATCACACATGGTAATGGAAAATCATTTCTATTTATTGGTAATACTAAAAAGCATGGAGGTCTAGGAATCAATACCCTATTTAGTCTTATATATATTCATGTTTTTTCCTCGAAACAACTTTTATTAAAATACAGTGTTTTGGAATCATTTGATAGGATATATAGAATAATACTGAATATGATATATTAATAATGTTGAAAATAGTAATGCTAACACTATTTTTTATAGACTATTTTGTTTGTTATATAATATCAATGAATATGATGTATTAGAATAAAAATATTATTGAATAGAATGTATTAGAAAAGAAATAATTACTAGTGATATTGTTAATGCCATAATTTGCTATATATAAGAAAAATATTGGTAGTCAATAGTGATACATAAATGGAAAACACTACCAAACAAAAAGTTAAACAATATCAAAGCTAATACCAATATTATTTTCTCTAATACTTCCTATCAAACATGGAGTAATGATCAATGAAAGGATCGCAATATAATATCCTTGTTTGATTACATTACTATGTTCATTAAATTGTATATAAATACATGAGGTTGGGTATACACAAGAAATTATTGAAATTAATACAAACGAGTTTCAATTCTATCTTTTTTTTATGGTTCAATATGATACTAAATCGACGATGATGGAGAAATTGCGAGATGGTGGCCATGTAGAGAACTTGTTAGTGTGACGCCCTATTGTTATGCTCGTGCATCGACAATATTTTAGGTCATTTACTAAACAGTTATTTCAAAAAGACGATCAATGAAAATTTTTAAGCTAGAAGGAGCCTAGGTAAAACATAGACTTGTCTCCAGTTTTTAGTTATTAATTATGAGAAACTTGCTGGCTCAATCAAAGAATCTATCAATATATAATAGGAGAGGTGAAAAGCGCCACGTGTCAGCACCACAAAAAACAAACTTTTTAAATAATAAAAATTAATTACATGTAATAGGATTTAATAATAAATTACTATTTTATTTTTAAAATAATTTTAAATATGTAACGTGTGTGTGTGATTCCCTTTTTTTGTAGAATTTTTTTTTTAACCATCTTTCCACAACCTCCTTATTTAATAATAATAATAATAATAATCTATATATAATAGGAGAGGTGATAAGCGCCACGTGTCAGCACCACAAAAAACAGACTTTTTAAATAATTAAAATTAATTACATGTAATAGGATTTAATAATAAATTACTATTTTATTTTTAAAATAATTTTAAATTTTAAATATGTAACGTGTGTGTGTGATTCCCTTTTTTTGTGAATTTTTTTTTAACCATCTTTCCACAACCTCCTTATTTAATAATAATAATAATAATAATCTATATATAATAGGAGAGGTGATAAGCGCCACGTGTCAGCACCACAAAAAACAGACTTTTTAAATAATTAAAATTAATTACATGTAATAGGATTTAATAATAAATTACTATTTTATTTTAAAATAATTTTAAATTTTAAATATGTAACGTGTGTGTGATTCCCTTTTTTTGTGAAAATTGTTTTTTAACCATCTTTCCATAACCTCCTTATTTAATAATAATAATAATAATAATAATAATAATAATCTATCTATATAAAATAGGAGAGGAAAAAATGCCACATGTCAGCGCCACAATTAATCTCAAAATTTCAGTATTTAAAAAATCAATTTAAAAAAGATAAATAAAAAATATGATTTTTTTTTTTAAAAAAACACATGTCAGCAATTACTAAAAAAACTGCATCTTTCTGTTCTTCAAAATTTGATTTTAAAATATTTTTACAATGTAATTTTACAGTTAAAGCCAACTGTCAACACCCAAAAAATTGGGATTTAATATTTTTAAATAAAATATTAAATTTATGAATTATTAATATTAATTTAAAATCTGAAAATAAAATAAAAATTATTAACACTAAAAAAAATGATTTTACAAAAAAAAAAAATTATTATTATTAATTTAAAATATGAAAATAAAATAAAAATTATTAACACTAAAAAAAAATGCAATATAAAATAAAATAAAATCAAAAAGTTACGTAACTACATCTTAGGTATCCTTTTTTTTTACTTCATTTTTGAAAATGATAGTTATCCAAATCAATATCCAAACGGATAAGTTTTTGAAATTTGAGTGATTAATTTTAAATTTAAATTTTAAAAGATAAATAACTAATTTTATTCCTAGAAAATAGTTAACCGCATAACACACGTTTAAATAACAAAAATCATTCTTAACTGCATCATTTACATTTTCCCAAAAACTTACTCATTTCAGAATTCTTATTCTCTTATATTTATTCAACTACTTAAACATAGTAATATTTTTGCTTTTCGTATTTGCTTTTATGATTAGTTCATGAGTATGAAGAGAAGATCATTTGATTTAGAAGAGTTCAGAAATA